GAATTCATTTAATTTAATATTGGAGACTTAGAGTTACAATAAAAAAATAGTAGCATTGCATTTTCTCCTATTGCTTTTTTTTTTTTGTTCTTTTAATTTATATTTTCTAATAATATTATACTGACAAAAAGAGGAAAATGGGTTTGGATTATGTGATACACATGGTGTGTCACAACATAATTATAGTATATATTAAACATATTGTCCGTGCATTACCGCAAACTAAACAATTTTTTTAATATAAGAAAAGTTATAGGTTAAAAAAAATGTAAGTCTCATGTCATTGGTTAAATTGACAATTTAAATATTTACAAAAAAATAATAAATAAACTGACAAAAAAAAACAAAAAAGGAACCACATCCAAGCGTATTTAGATTATCAAACAACTCACTACTAACTTAACTAAAATAAAACAAAAAAAAAAGAGTCAAACTTTAAAAAAAAAACCATCAGCATAAAATAAAAGGCGAACTAAGTGAACATCCTGAACCTCGTCTAATCTAAAAAAACTTGTAGCTTATTAAATTATAAATCCAAGTTCAATTAAGAACTTTAAATATCATCCAATTTAATTTTGAAGGATGGAAATGTTGAAAAAACTATTAATAAAAAAATTTACAAAAGAAAATAAGCAACATAAAAAAAATGAGGCTAAAACTTGACTAGAGAAAACCTAATGAGGATGAAATGTAAAAAAAATTATTTCAAACAAAAAAATTACAATTAAAAGAATTAGGACCAAACTTGAAAGATTAAAAAATCAAAGGATAAAATTGAAAATCATTTATAATATGATAGATTATTTATAGAATAAAAAAATGGTGGGGGTAAAATAAAATAAAAATTATTGAGGGCTAACCCTGTAGAATTAAATAAAAAAATAACAAAATAAAAGTTAAAAAAAATTAAAAAAAAGACAACATCAATTTAGAAAAAGAGAAAAAAAAAAAAGCAAGGCAAACCTTTTAAACCTGATCTAATCTTTAAAAGCCACATCTTATTAAATGTTTTACCTAGATTTAATTAAAAAGCATAATTCTTAACCAATTTAATTTTGAATGATAAGATTAATAGAAAAGTATTAATAAAAAAAACCTATAAAAGCAAAACAAATAATGAGAATGAAATTTGATAGAAAAAACCCAAGGATGCAATTTAATAAAAAAATAATCAAAATAAAATAAATATCAATTGAAAAATAAGAATTAAATTTTAAAGAACAAAAAAAATAATAGATGGTGAAATTGAAAACATAGGTAAAAACCAAGCAAATCTGAACATACATCTTAAATATGATCAAATCTTAAAAAGGTCATAACCTATGAATTCCCAAATTTAGGTGTCATCAAAAATTTTATTATAAGCTAATTTAAAAATATAAATTTAAAAAAATTGTCAAAGAAAAAAATAACAATAAAAGCCTCAAGCAAACTTGACAACCAACTCGAGTTAACAAATCAAATATGACCTAAGATATAAAATTAGGATGACCATAAAAATAGAAAAGAAAAAAATATAAAAAAATACTTTAAAAAAATTAGAAGTCGACCTAGGCTAATCCTTTTAATTTATTACCTAGCTTATGAGAGTGTGGTGACCCCAGTAAAGGAAAACCCATTAAAAAAACATGATTCTTAATCAAAGAAACATTGAGAGATTAAATTGAAAAGCAAAATCAATAAAAAATAGCAATTAAAAAAATTAGGATTAAATTTAATATAAAAATTTAATGAAATTAAATATTTTGAAAAAAATAAAATGAAATTAATTGTTTAGGGATGGAATTGTAAAAAACATTCATTAAAAAATAATTAAGAAATAGAAATTAAAATAATTAAAACTAAATTTGACATGAAATTAAATGAAAATAAATACATAGAGGTGGAATTTAAAAAAAAATCAATCAAGAAAATAATACAAAATAAAAAAAATAAAAAAATAAGGATTAAATTTGAAAAAAATTAAAAAAATCAAATTATCAAAGATGAAATCAAAAATAAAAATTTAATTATAAATAATTAATATAAGAAAAAAAATTATAAATAAAAAAATTACATCAAAATAAAAAATAAATAAATTGAAAAACCAATATACAATTCAAAAAAAAAAGTAATTTTAGTGTCGGAGTCAACCATGCAATATTGTCAAAATACAACAGAATAGCCTACACTGTAAGACAAAAATACCTACAATATTAACAAAAATACTACCATACTGCGCGAGGTTCTAGCCCAGCGGTGGGAGGGGCTTGTCCCCTTTCTCCGCACCTGGATTCGAGCCTTACCGCACATGTTTGTCACCCTCACGGTGCCTTACCTGCTCACTGGACTTGCAGGATGTTCAATGGGCCGTGGGGATTAGTCGTGGTGCGCGTAAGCTGACCCGGACACCCTACGTAAATCAAAAAAAAAAAATACTACCATACCCATTCATTTTTCTAGGATGAAAGAAAACTTTGATTCTTTTGTAGCAGAATGCGAGCCAAAAGATTAGTTTTTATCAAAAGGAAAATAAATTTATATCATTGAAATGCTTTATACTCAAAGTTGATTAAAAAAAAGACAGAAAAGAACTAGGAACAAAGGAATTAAACAAATAAAAAAAAAAGCATTCATTTTCAATTATTCCTGGTAATGGAGCTGATAATGCATTGTACGTGCATGTACGTAAATAAAAAAAATAATAATCATTGTGTTGCTTTCTTCTTTTTGTTTGTTGAGCAAGAAGGGTAATATCTTGTTTTTCTTTTTTTGTAGAGTACAATAATTTTTTCAAACCTACTCGAAACAGTAGGAAGCATAGCATCAATTTAATGAACTTGGATAAATACTTATCCGAAGGACAATTGTTTCCAGCTTCCCAACCGCTAAGGACGCCTGCAAGCAAACTGCGCAAAAATAAATAGCATACAGTCTTGCTGCTATATGGCAAGTATGGCTTGACTACTTGATACTTGTGTACCCATGAAATAATCAAGAACTTGTAACAGTTCATGAGGTCTGTAATTACTTGGACTCCACCAGTGACTCTTGCTGATCTTGTTCTTCAATCAACGTATAACATAATTTTGAAGTGTAGTTACAGTTGATAGACCTTCTCATAAAAGTACACACGCTAGCATACAAACAATAAATTAAGCACCTTGAAGGATAACATGCTGAATGGCTTCATCTGCGAAGTTTGCAAACAGAGAAATAAAGAGAAAATGACATCAACTTGAAAGAAAAAAACAGCGTGCTGTACAGTGCAGGTGAGCGGATGTGCGTGTATTGAAAGAAAAAAATATCAGATAATAATAATATAAAATGATTTCTGGGACCTCACTTCATAGATTAATTATTTGTTTAACATCCTTGTCAGAGCCGAAAGCCAAGATCCACTCATTAAACAACCATGCATTCACCCCACTGTGTCCAGTATACGTAGTCTTGCGTTATCATCATAAAGATCTGGCACGAGAAAAGGAGGGAGTTGAGTAGCCAGAGATGACTTGCCGATTGACTACTGATCATAGGAGGTGGAACATCAGCATACAATGATGTGTGTGTCTGTGTGCAGACATATAAAACATAAATGTGCTGAGATTTATAGCAATTAATTAACTGGCTATATATATATATAGCCAAACCTAGGATGAAAAATACCATAGCTATAGCTACTGATCATAGCTTATACCGGCAAGTCATCCTTGGCTGCACCACATAAACCCCATTCCCTCATGTAAGACCTAGGATGAAAAATACCATAACAAATGTCATAAAAAGGCCCTCCAAAAAATAATCATTTCCAAGAGTGAAGCGAAGGAGAACCAGACAAAAAGAAAGGGGAAAAGAAATCAGCCCCAATGATATATATGTAGCCTCACGATGCCCTAAACTAAACGACACAAGGATATATAGGAATTTTCCCAAAGAAGAAAGGCAATAATTCCTTACAAGAAAATATGTAAGAGAACTATCTCTTTTAATTTCGACAAACACAATGTGGAAACTGGTAGAGAGGGAGGCGTATGAGCAAGGCTCTCTTGGCAGAGCGTGGACGAATAGGGTTTGAAGCAATAGAGAGGAGCACCCATGAGGTCGTTTATAAAGACAAGTGTCCGTGACCTATAGTATTAATGATGTTAGCTTTTGTACAGAGAGGGCATCTCTAGAACTGTTCAAATATATGTCCTTTGTCAAGAAGAGTAACAAGAAAAGTTGAGTGACCGTGCATAAGGAGGGTTCATGAGGATTGATGTGACCGTCCATTGGTGCCAAAACCAAGAGAGATTAAGCCTATACGATCTATCCCCATCACGTGAACTCAGAGCAGCAGCTACCCTTTTAATTATTTTGCACACCATTTTGACGGAGTAATGGAGCCTGTCCACTGGATGCAGTACACTTGCAGCGAATTAGGTGGGCAAATTTACTATAATGGGGCTACACAAAAACAACTGTGAGAATTTCAACAAGTTGGCCTGTTTGACGCAATTGTATAACAGAGCAATTTTTTATTATTATTCTCTCTCGTTGTCTGGTTGGCTATGACCAGGAAACAAAGGTGATTGGAATCTTCAGTGGATAATGAGAGACAAATGCCTAATGAAAGTGTCTGCGAGTCATACTCCAATCAAAACATTCGAGAGGTGAAGACAATGTTTCTCTTCGGGGAAAAGGAGGTACGCAGCCTCCGGCCATAATCAATTGGACTTGCTCAACGTAGATAAAACCAGAGAGGAACTGCGATGGCAACACTCCTTTCCACGATATTCACTGATTCAATGGAGCATTTTGGTGATTCTCTCGGTGATTATCTTCATTATCTCAAGATGATGGAAAGCTCCTCATCTCTCTAAAGTTCTAAACCTTGACCAGCGACCTCATTGAATAGAGCCTCTGGATGGTCGGTATCACTTCTACCTCTCCAAGACAAGAAAACTACACTGCTCATTTGTTGACCCAGAAAAACAAATTTCATCTAGCCAAGGGGTTTGATGCCCAACACGACAAGAGGATGTGATTGAAGCACTTTATTATTTTTAATTTCGTTGCAAATAAATTTTCTAATTGTTGTTTCCATGTGCCTGAATAGACAACATACAAATACAAACATATAAAGCTCGCTGAAAAAATTAACTGGATGCGCTTGATTTCCACAGTTAAAGTGCTGGCATCTGTGATTAGCCAGGTAAACTGATGAAATGTTAATGCCTGACAGAACCTGCCACAATTTTTTTGTAAAACAATAATCAATCAGGGCAATTATCTCTGCGCAACAATCTATATAGCACACAGCATTTCATATGAAAATAACCTACCGCTTGAAGCCCTGAGTTCAACCTTTTCCAACAATCCAGGAAAGCCTCCGATGGTGTCTGAGCTATAAAAATCCATCAAAAGTGATTTGTATCATACCTTTTGAATTCTAGTGCACAACAATTTCCTTCTGCCTTTAATTCTCCCTGAGCATTTTTTTTACATTTATAGAATTTTTTGCTTTTTTTTTTTTTTTTACATGCATGAGTTAAAGAGACTGAAATATAGCAGTTGAGAACTCATCTTGAGCATACAAGCAACAGTGAATTACTGTTTATATTTCAAGCAAGACTACCTCCAAACTTACCTGGACAGGACAAGACAGCACAGCAGAGTCCGTGATACGAGCCTTCAAGAAATTCTCATCTTTAGTTCTGCCTTCATTCACAAAACTCATCACTATAAACAAAATTAAGTTCTGAGCTACAAAATACAAATCAAACCAATAAAAACTGCCAGATACAGCAACTTGGCCAATTGTACAATCCAGGCAAGGGCACATTTGAACATCCAAGCACATAATGAGGGCACAGACTGGTTAAAAATTTACAAAGGACATACTAGAATGCAACTATATATGTTTCTTCAATGCATGGCTCATAACTCCAAGCTCCAATGCAATTTCAATAAATTTCTTGGTATATAATGCATGCTTTAAAGAAATGTTGCTTCTGGCTTCAATCAGGTCTATCACATTTTAAACAAAAGTATTTTTGTAAAGGGTGTAGAAGTTCTTGAATATAGAATTCATCCATACAGAGACTATCCCAGCTAAGAATTATGGCATGACACATCTTAATTGCCTACGAGGATTCAAGAGGCCAGGGTGAATCCAGCAATTCAGTTAACGTTAGAATGCTCAAACACTGCTGATCAACTAAACAATTTCCAATAATCAAACCCAGCATAAATTCAAAAATCAAACTCAATTGGTGTAGCAGAGAATTGCAGGAAATAAAACCCAAGTTACTCTTAATACAAGTGCTATAGGATGCAAGAAATACAACCACCAAAGGATGGAAGAAACAGTGTCTCCATAATTAAAAGACAAGTTCCACTAACAAGAAAAACAATAAAGGCGTGCCACTAAAGAGGTTCTTAGAGCTCGGTAATTTATTATCAGGGACATGACAAGTGTTTGGTCAATATCAAGATCTCCAAATATATTTGGTTCTTCTAGGTGAGATCATCATGGTGGGCCAAGTGTCTGTCAAATCCCAGTACATCTGGTCTTCCAGTTTAGGCAGTAGGCTTCATCAAAAGAGGCAGTAGGCTGGCTTCAGGCTTCATAGATCTCAGCTGTTTTGATGGGAAAGGAGAGGAAGCAAAGGTAAATAAGTGCATCAGAATCCTATACAGAGGGAGATTGGATAGGTTATGATATGAAACTGCCGCAAGCTACAATGCGATTGGCCTTATCTGTGGAAATTTCCACTCATCTGTATACACACAGAATATACAATGTAAAACCAGTCTACCTGCAGTAGCCATCATCAAATTCTAGTAATAGCTTTTGCGTCGAGAAACAGGGGCCTGGCCAGATAACCTGATAATTGATGAAGTTGCTAGTTAGGATTTCTACAACACAATTACCCAAAGGATGTGTGAACATAACTTGCACACTAAAACTCCTAGAAAAAGCAGCATAAAAGCAAAGCACAGATAAACTGAATTGAAAATGACATGTAAACTGAACATCTCGCATCTAATTACAAGGAAGGTTACATGTCCACACAGGTTAAGAATTTAATCTTTAAACGCTAGCACTGAGTCTAGAACAGACACCAATTACATGAATAAATATTTAAACAGGTTTCAAACAATGGCACATGACAAAATATTTCTTACCCGGAAGTACCAGTGCGTCCGGAAGAATAACTTCCATAGGCTCCATAAGGACCTCCACTAGCATTAATCTACAAAAGACATGGATAAACACTATTCAAGTCAAGCAATAACTTGCAAAATGAGTGGGTATGAACAAGAAGTATTGGCAATTTTTACAGCTTACTCATTTTCCATGTCAAATAGCATTATAGCACATGTTCAAAATATGGAAAAAGGCTAAGAACAGGAAAAAAAGGAAACCATGCCCTCAATATGCAGCAAGTCTAAAACAATATGTATGTGTAATATTATCAAATCTACAAAACAATACCTGTGAGCTACCATAGCTACCATAACCATCACCAGAAGCATAATCACTTGAGCTATAACCGCCAGCATAAGAACTCCCACGTCCATGTCTTTTACCATCTCTACTGTCATAATTTAGACCCTCCGAACCTTCAGCTGAGACAGGTAGGTATGGTAAAACTGGTAGAATAGCAGACATTGCACCTTCCCTGTCAAAAACATTAGCTCTTAACCGTCGACTTATTTGTATGAGAGCATCCTTGGCAACATCCAGGTCTCCAGCAATCTTGTGGTCAAAAGTAAGAGGACTGGTCTCAATATTACATTAACTCGAGGAACATGAGCCACAGGCCCAGAAAGATGATACAAAAACAATTTCAATTCAATAACCATTAGAGATATTTCTTTACCTGCACCATCTCATCATCATCAGATGCAACTTTGGGAAGATTTTCCTTTCTAGGTATTCGAATAATAGCTTTGGTAAGTTTCCTCATCTCATCTATAATAACTCCTCCTTTACCCAAAAGGCAACCAATACGAGAGGAGGGCACAAGTAGACGTGTAGTAAAAGAGATGAGACCTGAATCTCTTTCCATTTTCTCACTACATCTAGGTTGCAAGCGTAAGGCTGCTTCTATTGTTGGAGAATATTGATCATAGATCTGGTATAGAACAATTAGAAATCCATCATAAACAATGTCAAAGGAACTCAACAGAGACAAAAAAGAGGGATTTAAAAGAATATACAAGTATTATACCTCCTTCGCTGAAATAGTTATCAAGCAATCATCTCCTTCAGCAACTGAACTATCAACTTTGATTGTTGCTCCAGACTCCTGTCTGATCTGGTTGATGATGGTACCACCTTTCCCAATTACAGCACCAATGTTGGCAGTTGGACATACCACACGAAGTGAAAATTCTTTCGAAGCAAGTTCATCTCTTGGAGCTGAATATAATGATCGCGACCAGTCTCCAGTATCACCTTTGAAACCACCATAAGGACCCATGAGAGGAGCAATTCCAACAATTGGGGCAGCTGCAGATGGACCTACCAGGGAGCCAACAGAAGAGTACACATTTGGAACAGCAGAAACAAGCAAGTGCTGAGACCGTGATGGATTATCGTGAAGGCGAGATGCTATTTGATATAAAGCCTTTTTGAGAACTGCAGCTTCACCAGAAATCTGGCCACCAATAACAACAATTATATGAGAAAAGGAAAGGAAAAATTATAGGCCTCATTCATTGTACAAAGCTAGAGCCTATACTCTCAAATCCAATGAATGCCTACTTGACGATGATGAAAGGGATCCAAACACATTGCTGAGCAAGTTTCGAATCCCCAAACATCATTAACTAGTCCAAGGAAGAAGACCCTTCCCAAAAAGGAAGTTTATTTCACAGCATGCAAGAAAAGAAAAAAAAACCCGATGACATACCAGATAAGAGCATGACTTGTCACAATCATAAAACCAAGATTTATTTTGGTCCAATAACTGTAATTGTCTATAACCTATCCCCTTAAACAAGTTCCAGAACTAAGAAAAAAATGAAGCGGAATTTTTTTTTTTTTTGAAAATGGAACAAAGACATTGTACCATCTGAAATTGCTAATGGAAACAATGGCAGGCAAAAAAAAAACAGGAATACCTGTACAAGCTCATCTGAGCTTAACGCACAAGGAGGTAAATGCTCATCCTTGAGAATGCGGATCACTGCACCAGTCTCACTGCGTATGTTCTGAACAATCTGCCCGCCTTTCCCAATAATACATCCTATCTGATCAGATGGTACAAGAAGCTTAGCGGTGACTTGTGGACTTCCTTCAGAGTCATCTTCAACTTGCAAATCTTCTGCAATAACCTTATCATGCACCCTGAACAGAGCATCCTGTGCAGGAGAAATGTAATTGCCACTGTCTTCATATTCATTAGTCTCATCACTCGGGCTATAGATGGTAACAACACGTTCTTCACAGCCCGGCACTGTTTCACCAACCCTAATCTTTGACTTAGTATCAATCCTTAATTGCTTAATAATCTCCCCTCCCCTTCCTATTATGCTCCCAATCTTCCTAGCCGGGCACAAATACCGATACACCGTATCTTGCGGATCAATAACAAAACGTTCTCTATCATCACCAGAATTTCTCCTCTTATTTCCACCAATATCATAATCTGACTGCGAATGAGCCCGCTTCCCGTAACTATTCCTCTGCCCCGCCATTACAATCAACAGAGACTACTTTCTACAACAACCTTATCAAAATTACACAATATAATCAAAATTCGAAAAACAAAAAACTTCGATCCATAATATTCTAAACTTCATAAATAACTACAAAAACCAAGATCCACTAAAAGAAATTATGAATTCTTTTCGAGAAAAAGATAATAACTTTAGATCAAATAAGCAAGGGTTAGTCAAATAAGCCCTAGATCTGGCCAAATCAAAAACGTAAAAACCCTAATTAGCAAACAAAATTACGCAATCAGTGGAAGATCATAAAGATTCGGATTGGATTATTACCTAGAAAGTGAATGATGTAGAGCGTAAATCAGAGTGACTTTTTTAGCAGATTCCGTCCTCTCTGTCTCTGTGTGTTATATCTTTCATATATATATTCCGATTTCTAGGGTTTTGACCGCGCCTTTGCCATTTTAGTTGTTTCGCGCTGAAAAAAAATATTATTATTTGGACCGGATTTTACTGATTTTAAAATCATCCTGAATTTTTGCACGTCTCCCCGAATCCACTTACCTGATTAAAATTTAATTTAATTTTTTTATAAAATAATTCAGAATATCATTTTATTTTTCTAAATTCTGAAATAATTTTATTTTTTATTAAATTTTTTAAAATATTAATAAATCCGTTTAATACCAAGTCATATTTAATAACTTTGCTCATTAGTTACGGGACATTTTTTTAGCCACATGAATTACGGTTCCAATACCATCCATACAATTGTTGCTGAGTTAAATTTTAATTGGTTAACTACAAAAGCATCCTTCACTTATAAGATCACTCTCAATGTTGCCCTTCCTTAATTATTTTTATTAATTTCATCCTTTACTTTGTTATCTAATTATTCCAATCTTACCCATCCGTTAAAAATGTGTTCTTCGTTAAATGTCTCGTGGCACATACAAATATTTTCAAACTAATTAAAATTCAAATAAAAATAATAATAAGATACAAAATATAAAATTTACATGAAAGAAATAATAACTCGCAATACGTGATTGCTTGTCCAACCACTAATTAATTTTTATTATGATATTATATTATTAAAAAAAAGGCTTTCTTTTCCCCACTTACTAGTAAACTTTATAACAACTACCACATTTTTCAATCAAAACATTTTCATCCATGATCAATCCCATTTTATTAATGTTATTATAACCTATTTTTAACTCCTATTTAAAAAAAATTAAAGAGTGAAATGGAAAGAAAACAAAGAAAGAAAAACCAAAATAAATAATAAAGTTTTGAAAGATGTAATAATATACTCCAATATCAAATTTAAAATAAAAAATGATCTTTTTTTATAAAATGAAGATTTAAAAATAATTAGAAATAAGGTACTTGACTTGGACTACATGGAAAATTTATACTAAAGATATTTAAAAAATCACCAATTATGATCTAAGAAAAAAGAAGAAGATCATCATGATTAAGAATGAAAAATTTTATCTTTAAAACTCCTAAAATTTAAGATTCTCATTTAATAGAAAAAAAAAATCTTCTAATTAATTAATGATTTTATTTTCTAGAGGTTCAACACTATAAACAAGGGTTTGCGTTATACATAAAACAAACAATAGACAAAGAGAGAAAGAAACATAGAAAAATACATAAAAAAGAACAAAAACTAAAAACATGAAAGAGGAAGAAAGATCAAAACCCTAACAACAACATCTTTTACTCCCTCGTACACCCACAATTGTCAAATCAGGTGAAATAGATAACTACACATATGGTATAAGCTTCTCCAACTCTCACCATGATACCACAGCAGCAACAACCCCCTCTTCCTCTTAATTAAAACCCGATAACCTCAACACGATAGTCACCAAACCAAATTGAGAGGCACAATAGCAACAAATCCTCTTCCTCATTAAATTAGTCTAATCACTATCCTCCAACCTTTAAGAAAGTCCATCCAAAACTCAGTTGTTCCCTCACTAGAAAAGAATATTTAGCCAAAACTTTATTTATGTCGATCTTTTATATTAGGTGGTAATGGACTACATTACCTATGTAAAAAGGAAAAGGAGGAGCCTCTGATATGCTAGCCCATATGCCTCTTATCTTTGTTGATATGTGCAATGATACCTTGCAATCTAGTGAATCCTTTCACACATATAACTTATATACTGCCACTATCTAGGTCATTATCAATGAGTTCTAGTTGACATTAGCAACTCGTATGGTTGCTTTTGAACCCTAGCATATTAATTTATTTATTTATTGAATAATTTGTAATATTATTAATATTTGTTTATTTTTTGAATGATTTGTAATATTATTGACTTTTATGTATATTAGTGAATAGTAGACATGTTATAGGTTCACGTCATTACATGACAACCCTAACAGTATGAAACCGTTAAAGATATGATATTTATATGATGTGAAATAACGATGGAAATGATTGCCATGTGATAGGGTTGGAAGGATTGGATTTGAAATTAGTTTATCCAATGCATAATTGACTGGTCTTGTATGGAAACTCAATACATATATAATTATCAAATTATTTCTATGTATTTACCTTCTTTTAGTTAAGAACTCAACTTAAGATTAGAGAACTTGTTATTGGCTCCTATTGTTGGATGTTAACCATTGGATAATAAAAAATAGTTGTTGCACGTTTGTGTCTTTTGTTATGTTTATGATTTTTTTGTTTGTATTTGTGTATTTATTGTTTTTTATATGAAGACTCAATCGAGGATCAGATGACTCATTAAATGTTTCTTATCCTTATATTTTAACTATAAGGTAATAGAATTGGTGAATACACATTCATATCCTTTATTATATTGTTTTTACATTTTTATTTTTAGTGTCGCATATTTGTTGTCATTTATTTTAAGAATTCAATTTAAGATTAAATGACTCATTCTTGACCTTTTATCCTTGAATGTTCATTATCGAGTATTTGAATTGGCAAATACATGTTTATGTAAGGTCCAAAACTTGTTTTTTGGTCAAAATTGGGATGATGTCATCATCGAGCCTAAATCCAAAACTATTCTTTAGTTTAATTAAAAAAGAAACATTTAGGTTTAGGTAATATTAAGCATAATAAAAATATTTCATTTTAAAACAAACATCAAAGTAATTTATCTTATGTGGGATATATAGGGTGATTATTATCTTTCTTATTATCTAACTAGCCTCTTACCAGAATATCTAAAAGAACAATTAAGGTTTCCTAGTTACCATAAACTAGATGGTGACTTTTTTTTCTTCTAATTTTATCCTTTTTTATCTATATCCCGCCTCAATGTCAACTGCAATAATTGTTATAATATCCACCACCCCCCTCCACTTTATTGTTGGTTGAAAAAAATAAACTTATAGACTAAACAACTCTTGAGATTTTTGGTAAGAACTTATTGCTTATCATAAGAAATAATGTTAATAAAATGAGGTCTTATGGTCAAGAATTGAATGATAACTTACATCTTGTTTTATTAAAATAAATAAACAAACATTTAATAGACATCACTTATTAGACAATAATCTAACTCTAAGAAACCTGATGTAAATCACAAATAAACCTTATACTTATTTTTCAATTAATATAAAGAGATCAATTTAGTCCATATTAGATATGGAGCTTTTAGGTTTCCAACACATTGATGAACATAAGAACCATCATGTTATTACTATAATTACAGTTATTATAGAAAAACTAAATTTGATCGTACTTTTATTGTATATATATCCTCATTATTAATAAGTATTTATGTATTGCAATGAGATATTTTTTTTCTCTCATTCTTTACTCTAAGAGACTTGGAAGCATGCTTGCCACTTTTTTTTTTATCACATCTTTCAATTCACCTTTTTTTACAAAATGAAATATAATGAAGAGAAGAATTGGAGGAATACATGTTGAAGAAGAAAAAAATACACAAAAAAGGTCTACTCTTAAGTTACTAATAAGAGGGGTGGTGACGGTGGCAGTGTTCAATTCACCTCTTTCTTTCTTGAAACCTAACCAACATAAGAAATTGAAAAAAAAAATTACAAAACATACAAGAGGGGAAAAAAAAAAGCAAATGATGTTAAAAAAGAAAAAAATCTTGGAAAAGGGCTTTGATTTGACGTCACTGATGATAAGAATAATGATTCTAGTTATAGTACTTCTAAGATGGAGTTAAGGTTGTTGAATATTAAAAAAATATTATATTTTCTCCCTTCTATGTTTAAACTTTATAAGTTATAGTCTTATAACTATAATAATATTGTTAAATCCTTTGTTTTTGTTCCTTTTATTTTATTGAAAATTTGTGAGGTTTTTTGCTTTATATATTTTTTGTTTTTAAATTAGTTGATAAAACTTAAAAATTATATTTTTTGTGTTTATAAGATTTGAAATTTAATTTAGGTTGTCTACATTGATAGATTTTTTAGGCATGAATATTAAAAAATCTATTTTTTCATTGAAAATTGAATCATTGCCTTGTTTTTTGAACAAAAGAAAGAAAGAAAAACTTAAATTTATTTTGTAATTTTTTTGATAAAGGAATGTATTTAGTTGGTATTTGTTTTTAAATTTCATATTTTTTTGGATTTATTAGAGATTTTAAGAATTTATAGTTTATATAATCTATATTAGCATTAATGACAAGTTAATTGGTAAATGTTTAACCTTTCTTTATTTGTATTGTATTTTCATTGTATTTATGCAATTAAGCTAACTAACAAGCAAATCACTTTCCTTTTCTATTTTTATGTATTTTTAGATGTGTAATCGAGTTTGTTCTTCTTAATTTTTTTTATCTTTAATTAAGTTTATTGTAGCACTAAGGATGATATATCAAAAGAGAACAAAGAATTAAATGTTCTTCAAAATTAAATATTAGTCTAGAAATGGGGATTCTAGGAATTTTTCTTAATTAAGAAATTCCTAAAAGAACTTACACCATCTTTGTTGAATTTTGTTTAAGCTGGAATTTCATCTTATGCCAAAATGAAATTGCAAACCTTTCTTAGTAAATATTTTTCAAATGAAAAAATTATTGTAGCATTTGATATGGTAATTTTGATATTGATTTCTCAAAATTATTTTATGTATTGGCTATAGTTTGTTATGAGAACATTATAAAAGCTTTAACTATCTATGATGTCATTTAGATTATGAAAATTACAAAAAAATAAATTAATGGAGTATGTCATATTCTACTTTAATATGCTTCTCAATCTTTAAGACGTCTAAAAAAATGTAGATTTTACAAAATCTGCCTTTGATTTGGTAGTCATCTAAGATGTAATTTTGTTGGCTTAGTATAAGTAAAATCAATATTAAAGATAAAGCAATTATCATTCATAAGTCTTTATATAACAATGTTGTTTATTATGTAAAGAACCTTAATATATTAGTATAAATACATAGAAGTATTGAAACCT